AAATCTAAGATAAAATAAACAAAAATAGGAACAAATTCCCGATCGGTAAAAAAAATTATTGTGACTGAGTTTTTCGTTGCTGGGGTGTAAAAATCAGATGACTATATCCGGATTAATAGAATTAATAAATAATGACAGCTTCGCTCGATTACTGTCATTTTCTCGTTTTCCCATGCAGCTTCAGCAATTCTACATAGTTGCGGATTTTCGTCGTCGATGGATATGTTTTTTCCGTGTATCCCCTTTTTTTCTCAAAAATTGTTCCTTCATACACGAATCGCGTCTTCCATCATTTTCGAGGGAGAAATTCTGGTCGCGCATCATGACGATGATTTGACAACCGAAAAGGAATGAAGAGAGAGGGAGGGGGGAAGAAGTAGAAGAGGGTGAAAGAGAGCAGCAGCAGAAGCGTAGAGGCTGAAGAAAATCGTGGATAGGGATCGCGAAACCGACGATGGATGAATATCCAGAGGAGAAGGAGAAGTGAAGAAGAGCGCGAGATAGAGGGAGAGGAGAATTCCCTCTTAGTTCCAGGCATCGGACTTTCGTGCGAGACTATGAGAACGTTCCCACTCCCACGTCCAAAGTGCTCTTTTCCTTTTCCTACGTGCCTCCCCTTTTCCCTCCCTCGCTGCTCCCCCCCTCCTGCCCCCCTCGTGACTCTTCCTTTTTTCCCTCTCGTTATCTCCGTCTCCTCCGTGCACGCGTCCTCCTCCCTCCCTTACACACGTACGTATGTACGTACATACGTACGTATGTCGGTTGAGCGATCGTGGTTCATCACGGTTCTCGAGCTCGAACATGGTGGTTGCAGGGGCGGAATAATGTCCGCATGACGCCCTGATCCCCGCGAATGACGAATCGGATAAATTAAGGTTCGAAAAAGGAACGGTCTCTCTCGGTTATAGATATAAAATATAAGAAAGACTGTGGGAATACGCGGTTGACTGACTATATTTCCGAGACTATTAGAAGCGGACGCGTCGCCTTAAAATAAAGCCGCCTATAAACGTCTTACAGATGTTGACAAACATCCACGATTTTATCGCGCCTCTGTCACACATAAGTTATCTAGACCGCCATATATTCTTCGTTTATTCTATATTTAACCAAAGATCACAGAGAGACACACACAAGTGATACAGAGAAGTCTCGTTGGTACTTCAAACTTTTCCCGTATATGCGTTATATTACGTTTTTCGAAATCGTTCTCCACTGTTTCGGTTTACCCGGCTTTCGTCTTTGTAAAGGTTCAACTATAATAAGTGTAAACTAAGTTGTAAGCTGTAAGAAATTAACCAGTCGTGATTGATTTTATTCTCCTAACATTCGATTGTGATTGGTTAATTTCAAACGGTTTATGTTCGCGATACTAGAAATTGGTCCAGGTTTTTGAACTGAGAATTGTGTAGCCAAACAATTTGCAGCTTTTATGGAAAAGCA